CAGGAGTCCTAGTGCAACGCTGTAGAATAAAGCACTGGACTGCAAGGTTGGTTTGAACCACAAAGTCAGTAGATCAAACCCACCAGCTGCTCCTCAGAAACCCCTAATAGGGTCACTATAAGTCGGGACCAAATTCATAGCACTTAACAACAACAATAACAAAAAAGAAGGCATTCTTGAAAATTCAGACAAATAGCAAAACTGAAAAACTGAATAGAAACAGGAAATAGTGGAAAAGACATTGCCGAAACACATTGTGACGTACAAGGCCAACCAAGAAATTCCTTAGAAAAAATTTGAGCAATCGATTTGGATTTATAATTATTTCCATCCTTAAAGAAAAATAAATAAACCAAACCACAGTGGCACACAGCTGCTCTGCCATTTTGAGCTTTTGAGAGCAGCTGTTAATACAGCATCCTGAAGGCATGGTACACAGTCGGAGCTTGGCAGCAGCCAGGGACATAGTCAGTCCCTGCCTTGTCAACCCAATGGCCAGTGGCACCCCGTCTTACACAGCCTCTGCTCTGCCTGGGGTCGGGCACTGGGTATTGTACCCTTGCTTCTGGAGGCTCATGATCCTGCCCTGAACAACGCTATACAAACAGTAAAAAGAAAACTGCATTCACACTTTCAGTCTCTACCACATCCACTAGGAGACAGGTGGTGAGTGCCGGAGAACACACCAATATATGATCATCAATTCAATATAAATCCGACACCACAGTGTCTCTCGGAAAACCGATAGTTTCAGCTGACACAAAGAAACAAGATAGAGTGCTTCAAACAAGTGACTAAAATACAGAGAAGGAAAATTTAATACAGAAACGGTATCAGAACTACCTGATAAGGAATTCAAAAGAATGTGATTGAGGTGCCTTCAACAGATTGAGAGAATGATTGAGAAAATTGAGATGAAGTGAAGGAAAATCGACAAAATTACAGAATTCAGGAAACAAACTGACAAAATAAATGAAAAAAATGGGACCCACGCAGAGCAGCCATTAGAAAGCCAGATGATTAACAAGACTTCAGAAATAAATGGCACACTAAAAAAGCAAAGAAGTAGAATTGAATCAATGGAAGGCTGGATTACTGAGCTTGACGAAAAATCTCATAATATTCATCTGCTAGAGGAGTCTTGGTGTGGCTCTGTGGGCTAATGCCTCAGACTGCAAAATTGTTTGAACTGCAAGGTTGATGGTTCAAGCTCACCAGCTGCTCCTTGGAAACCCTACACAGGGTCGCTATGGGTCGAAATCGACTTGATGATACTTATCAACAGCAACAACAACAGAGGAGTCCTGGTGTTGTGCTGTGTGTTAAAGTTCTGGACTGCAAGGTTGGTTTGAACTGCAAGGTCAGTGGTTCAAGCTCACCAGCCACTCCTTGGAAACCCTATGAGTTGTGAGGATTTTTGTTTTCTTTACATAGAGTGTAATCCATCCTTATTAGGTCTTATTTTCAAATAAATTGTTTAATATTGGTGTAATTCCTCCAAAATTCTGGTATTAGATTGAAGAGTCCAAGAGACTTTCCTAATATCACCTTAGCAATGCTATCTTTCTTGGTTCTACCCATGCGATTCAGGCTCTTTTGTTATTAGCTCTGCTTTTACCCTTTCTCAAAGGTCTTTGTCTCCAGCTGGTCACTATACAAGTTGTGCCGGAGTCGGTTCTGACTCAACAGAGGAAAATAAAAAACAACCTAAATGCTGATGGTGGATGGGTTGGATACATTCTGGCATGCCGATGCTATAGCCTACTGTTGCTGTTGTTAAGTACTGTGGAGTCGGTTCTGACTCATAGTGACCCTGCACAGGGTTTCTGAGGCTGTAAATCTTTACGGGGGCAGAAAGCCTCATCTTTCTCCCGCAGAACAGCTGGTAGTTTCAAACTGCCGACCTTAGCAGCCTGATTCGTAACCACTACGCTACCAGAGCTCCTTTAGACTACGGTGCAGCTATTAAAAATAATGAGAAGGACCTCATAGGGATTCTCTTCAAGACACATTGTTAAGTGATGAAGACAAGTAGGAGAATAACAGCTATATGTTCACCTTCCAGCTGTCTATTGTTATGTAAAAATTTCCCTAACAATAGCAATTGTAGGATAAGCACAGGATCCCAAGGTCAGTTTGAACCACAAGGTTGGTTTCAACCATAAGATTGGCGGTTCAAACTCACAAGTAGCTCCTAGGAAACCCGATACAGGATTGCTAAGGGTCGGAACCAATTCAAAGACGCTTAACAACAAGCAACAATGGTTTCTGTAGGTCAGGAACTTAGGAAGTGTTCTACTACTGGGTGACTCTAGTCAGGTGTCTTATGTGGTAACAATCACACAATGGCTGGAGATGGAACAGTAGCGATATAAAGTGAAGTGGTGAGGAGCCGCTCGGTGTTCAGACAGACTGGAGACTCTCCGTGTGGGTTAGTTTGGGCTTCCTCATATTATGGTGGCCTCAGGCAGTCAGGCCTCTTGCATGGTGGTTTTTATGACCTTGCTTGAGAAGTTATATAATGTCACTTCTACCATAATCACAAATTCACCCAGATTGAAGGGGAACCACTCAACAAAAGGAATATCAAAGTCACATTATAAGAACAATAGCATGGATCTACTGACCTAAACAAAATGGAGTTGGTTTAATCATTGAGTCTCAAGTGAGGACCCTGCAAATGAGGAAGTTTATACATTGGCTGGGATGACCTTGTGGTCCTAAAAGAAGGACAGAACAGGGAGAATAGGACATGCTTAAACCCACCCAGATAGTTATCTCAGGAATTAAGCAGAGACCCTAAAGGTATGTTTGAGAAGGATCATTGCCTGGTTGTTCCCTTTTCCCTGAGAGATGGAGTGTTTAAGAAGGACGTTGCCTGATTGTTCCTTCCTCCCCCACCCAGAAAGATACTATCTTGATGTTAAAATAGATTCAGTGTACATCCAAATGTAACTTACCCTATATAATGTGCCTGCTCTTCATAATGGAAAAGGACAGTCTTGAGAAGCTATTCTCACCTTCCTCCAGACTGCTGGTTTTCTGTTAATAAAGCTTGGATTGGGCCTCTCCCTGTCTCCGTGATTGACTACAGTGACAGGCGGCAAGCCCTCATTTTGGTTTGGCAACAAGAAGAGCATGAGGGATATTTTTGTGGCCATTTTTAGAAAATACAAGCAGCCACAGTTTGTCCTCTGGTCACAGCAGTTCACATGCCTCCCACTGAAAGTATACTCACTTCTCTAGACACAAGCATGATTGTCCAACTTGAAGAATGTCATCAGTGTCATTGTACGTGTTGAATTTGTTGAGATAGCATGTTAATGTATATTTTCACCCCACTTTTAAAAAGGAAACCCTGTGGAGCACATGGTTCTACTGTGACAGACATAGGGCCACCGTGAATTGGAATAGACTCCATGGCAACTGGTTTCCTTTCCCAGTAATTCCAAGTCTCAACCCATTACAGCATCCACTGAAAGTCTAGGATTTCATCATCCAAATCAGGTCAAGATGCAGATGAGTTTCCTAAGGTACAGTTAATACATATTTACAGTTCTCAGAGTACTTGTTCTGAATTATAAACCAAGACCACCCAGTTCTATAGGGTAGGCAAGAGTTCTCCTAGGACTCTAGCATTATGATGTTCCACCAACTCCCCCTGAAGATCTTCATTATGCCAGGCACTGTGTTATATTATGGAAAATCTGGATGAACAAGAAGATCCCAGAATGTGCCAACACAAGTTGTTGGTCTAGTCTTTTTTCCTCTGTGGCTACCTCTCTGTGCACTGGTTTCACTACTTAGACACCATCTTCAATTGGGAAAACTAACTTTGGTGCATTCAACTCCGAGACCACGTTGCTATAGTCCATGCTGAATTCAGTTGTTTTTTACATCAGCTGCCAGCCAGCCTTACTTTCCATATTGGCTACATCCTCATTTGTACAGCAATGCTTATATCTGCAATTTTCTGAATATTGCAGCTTATGAGAAATGGGGAAATGGAAGCGTAACTCTCATAAACATGGTGCAACTGAGACAAAGATGAAAAGCTTACCTACAATAGGATGTTCATTGGATTTCTGCTGAAGGACCTTGTGGACTGTGCATTTGCTTGTGAAAGAAAGAACAAAATAACCTGAGTGAAGGTGAAGGCAATGTACAATAAGAGAAAAGTTGGCAGAAGAATGATGACGACATGGGCAGACATAGGGAGGACTGCAAGAGTTAATGGCCACTGTTATATACAAAATCCTGCAATAACGGTGATCTATGTGTAGATACATGGATGGAAATGTAGGCTGACTGGGTGTTGGAAGGAGAGTTGGAGCATATTCATAAATATATAAGATTTTACAGAGGGTATCTATACATGGGTACTTAGTTACCGTTGCTGCAAATATATCCACGAATATGGTGGAGCATATGGGGGACAAAGTTATGGAAATTTCTTAGATATTAACAAACACCTAGAGGGAATAAGTTGCCAGACCTGAGGGCTCAGGACCATAGTGTTGGGAATCGTCATGATGAATAGGCATAACATAGTCCACGAAGACAATATTGTACATCCTACTTCATGAGTAGCAACTGGGTTCTTTAAAGCTCCTGAATGACCGACTGTTGGTCTCTTTCTGTGTAGAGGAAAGAGGAATGATGAAAATTGAAATTGCTTGTAAGCAATTAGTCCAACTGATTAATGGACCACGTGAACATCAGTCCCCATGACCCTGAGACCAGAACTAGATGGTGCCCGGCTACTACTGCCAATAGCTCTAAAAGAAATCACCTTAGAATGTCCTGGATAGAGTGGGAGAAAAAGAGGAACAAAATACCAAATGTATAAAAAAAGACCAAGCTTACTGGTCAGATAGAGACTGGTGGAGCCCCAAGACTATGACCCTTGGTTTCCTTACATGTCTGGAACTGATTCACTCCCACGGTTCCATTTTCAACCAAGCAACAGACAGGTATATAGGAGGGACAACAACACGAGCATGCACATCAGAGAATGGTCAGCCATTTGAGAACAAAAGGGCATCATTTACCCAAAACTTAGAAGAGTTGGGAAAGAAGGAGGAATGGAAACAAACACAGAGAGGAAGTGGGACAACTGTTGCATGGAGGAGATTGCAATCATTGAGCTGAAACAAAGCATATGATTTATTGAATGTAGAACAAAAGATCTGCTCTGTAAACCTTGACTCAATTCACAATAAAAAGTGTTTGTTTTTTTAAAAAAGGGAAAAATACAGAGAATTCTGGAAATGCATCATTGGGAATTAAATCTAAAACGTAATGTATTGTTGGGAAATTGACAGTTAATACTTAACATACTTGTATTTGATAAAACACCCTCTTTGGGAAGAATCTCATTATAGCCTGTAGTCCAACTTTCTTACATTAGACCCGAGTCCACATTTTCAGGTGTGCCATATAACATATTCCAAAGTATAGAAAGATTGATGTGTTAATTTCCTTTAGCTGCTATAACAAACTACCTCATACTTGAGACTTGAGAACATGCCTTTGTTCCCCTACAGTTCTGAAGTTCAGAGGTCCAAAGTCAGTTTCACTGGGTCAAAATCAAGATGTCAGCAGGACTGCATTCCCTCTAAAGGCTCCAGGGAGAATCAGTTTCCCAGTCTTTTCCAGCATCTATAGAGTCATAGTCTAAGCTGCACTGATGGTGTTGGCGAAAAGCAAGTCTCCAGGAATTGATGAAATACTCATTGAAATCTTTCAACAAACTGATGCAGCACTGGAGGCACTCACTCGTCTATGCAAATTGAGTGGAAGAAATCCACAATTGTGCCCATTCCAAAGAAAGATGGCCCAACAGAAGGATGCTAGAGAAGACTATTAAAAGTATCATGGACTTTCAGAAGAACAAACCAATCTGTGTTAGAAGAAGTACAGCCAGAATGTTCCTTAGAAGCCAGGATGGCAAGACTTCATCTCTCATACTTCAGACATGTTGTCAAGAGGGACCAGTCCCTGGAGAAGGACGTCATGAAGGGTCAGCAAAAAAGAGAAAGGGCACTAATGAGATGGACTGACAGAAAAAGAACTCAAACAAAATAATTGTGAGGATGGTGCAGGACCAGGCAGTGTTTTGTTCTGTTGTGCGTAGGGTCAGAACCAACTTGAAGGCACCTAACAATAGCTACATAGTGGAAATGGTTAACACACCTGACTACTAAACAAAAGGTTTGAGATTTGAGTCCACCAAGAGGCACTTCGGGAAAGTTCTACTGAAAAAATCAGCCATTGAAAATTCTCTAAGGAACAGCTCTACTCTGACACACATGGGTCACCTCGAGTTGGAATTGTTGAGTCAATTTGAAAGCTGCATTTCTTGGCTTCTGGTCCCTTCCTCTTATAGCACCTTGCTTTAGTATCACACTGCTGCCTTCTGTGCCAAATCTTTCCCTTATAAGAACATCTGCAGTTGAATTTAGGGCCCACCCAGATGATCTAGGATGATCCCCCACCTCAAAATTCTTAATTTAATTGCATCTGCAAAGACCCTTTTTTCCATAGACGGTTAGACTCACAGACACCAGGATATCGTTGGTGTCTGATTCAGTCTACCATAATTATGAATGTCACTTCACTTCCATTAATCAATTATCCCCTTGACCAGGCCAATATGTTGGAAAACATGTAAACCTACAACTGACCCACTAACATTCCCGCTGACTCATGCCTTAACCACGCTAGAAGTCTAAACTCTCTAGTATCTAAAAAGCCTTTGGACAGTGTTGGGCCACACCTGAAACCAAAGCTCACATCTCCATTTTATTTAAATGAGGATTATCCTACCCCTGAGAGGTATTGAGTTTCAACTGGGCCAGCATAATCTTAGTGACTTTCATCGTCAATTTTGTAATATGCCAGTTTTTAAGGCCTGCTCCATGTGACTCAGTTCCCTTGGCTTCCTTGCCAGCAACTGTTTTGTCTTAGCTTTGTGCTGTTCTCCTGTATCCTATTAAAATCATGGTCTTAGGTCCCTGGGACCATCAAGGGAGAAGAGCAGAGTGGGACCCTACCCAGAGAAGCAATAATGCCAGAGATGAAGGCAGAGACGGTGACGTGGAGAGATGGAGCAGCTAGGGACTTTAGATCCAGAGAGGGAGAGGGGATGTTGGGTGGGGGTGGGGTGGGTGGAGAGAGGGGGTAGGAGGTAGGGGGGTGGGTGGAGAGACGGGGAGCCGGGAGGCAGGCTTGCAGGGTATACCCTTTAGTTGGTTGATGATGCATGGAGGGGATTGTAACCATGGCAATGAATATATGATAGGGTGAATGTAAAACTAATGTTCTCCCATGTAAACTATCACATTTTGTTGTTGTTGTTAAGTGCCATTGAGTCGGTTCCGACCCATAGCGACCCTGTACAGGGTTTCTGAGTGTGTAAATCTTTACGGGAGTAGAAAGCCTCATCTTTCTCCCGCGGAGCGACTGGTAGTTTCGAACCGCTGACCTTAAGGTTCGCAGCCCAATTCGTAACCACTACGCTACCAGAGCTCCTTAAACTATCACATAATTCATAATCAAACATTTTTTAAAAACCATGGTCTTCCCGCCTGAGAATTAATTCTGTCTGGATCCCAGGGATAAACCCAGTAAGGTTTGCTGAGGAATTCATCTCTTCTTCTTGTACCCTGATAATTTTCATTTGAAGAAAACAGGAGCTGGTCTTTTTATACATGACCTCTAAGCTAGAAATCAAAAAGGGAAATTCTGGTAAATTTTGGCCACAGAAAAAAATAGTGTATGGCAAAAGACATGGAAACTAAAGGAAGAGAACAAAAGACAAACCAGGGGAAAAGATTTGCAACATACAGGACAAAGTGCAAAGATGGGTAAATTAATTTCTAAATGGGAACATTAAAGGAACATCTAGATGATACTGCAAAAGAAATGCAAGTAACACAATAACATGAAAAATGATTAACCTTTCTAATAATTAAAGAAATTAAAATTACAACCAGGATCTTACTTGCCCAATGGGGTGGAAAAGATCATTGAAAAGTCCATTGTTAGTAAGCGTACTGAGAGGCAGGCATTCTTTTTCATTATGTGAAGTATGAACTGGGGCAGCCTTTTGGGAGGGTAATTTGGCAGGAACAATTAGAATTTTAAATGTGCATGCTTTTAACACAGCAACCCCATGCCTATGAAAGCATGTTCCTTCCTCACTATTCTTTAGCTTTTACAAACTGCGTTTTAATCGAATCCTGGCTTTCCCTCTTTAATTTTTTAGATTCAGTATTCCTTTCTAACCCAACTTGAATCATTTTTATTTTAGGATCAGACTCCCCCAGGACTTGTCTGGTACTCTGAGATTCAGGCTAAATTGGTTTCAAAAGCAGTTTTGCCTCATTTAAACTTAAGGAATCATTTTTCCTTATCTGCTGCTATAGTGATTTCACAGATAGAACATTCCAATTCCTTCTGTCGCCTCTTTCAAATTTCATGACTTTAAGGATTGGAGGAGAGATTAACAGTCTCTGAAGAATGACACTTTCCCTTTTTCCCTAAATGAAGAGAAGATACCAAGGCCTTTTGGAGGGGGAAGCGTCATCTATCTGAGGTTATTTATAGAAGTTGGATTTAAATATAATTCTGCCCTCTAGTAACACTCCAGTAGACTGCTCCTTTAAAGACTTGTTCTGCCCTCTATGTAACAGTGTTTATTGCTTTTAGTATATTGTTGTTATTAAGTACCGTGGAGTGGGTTGCGACTCATAGCGACCCTGCACAGGGTTTCCGAGGCTGTAAATCTTTACGGGAGCAGAAAGCCTCGTCTTTCTCCCATGGAACTGCTGGTCGTTTCAAACTGTCAACCTTGAGGTTAGCAGCCCGATTCGTATATTAGGATTGAATATAAATGTAACAGGCACTAAGGAGCTCTGGTAGCGTAGTGGTTGTGAATCGGACTGTGAACCTTAAGGTCAGCAGTTTGAAACTACCAACCACTCCGCGGGAGGAAAAATGAGGCTTTCTGCTCCCGTAAAGCTTTACAGCCTCGGAAACCCTGTACAGGGTTGCTATGGGTTGGCACTTAACAACAACAGGTAAGAAACCGACTCCCCGCACTAAAAACAACAACAAAGGTAAGAAACAGGACTTCTGGTATGGTGTAGGATCAGCACTGGACTTCAAACCACAGGTAAGCAGTTCAAACCCACCAGTTGCTCCTTATCCTATACAGGGTTGCTATGAGTCCGAATCGACACGATGGCACTTAACAACAACAACAGATAAGAAACAGGGAGTCCTGGTGTGGTGCTGTAGGATAATACACTGGACAGCAAGGTTGGTTTGAACCACAAGGTCGGCGGTTCAAACTCATCAGCCACTCCTCAGAAACCCTAAACAGGGTTGCTATGAGTCAGAACTGACTCAACAGCACTTAATAACAAGACAAGACACATAGGGTTCTGACATAACTCTGGAGCATAAGCACTAGACTGCAAAGTTGGTTTGAACCACAGGTCAGCTATTCAAGCTCACCAGCCACTCCTTGGAAACCCTATACAGGGACTCTATGAGTCGGAACCAACTCAATAGCACTTAACAACAACAACAACAGGTATGAAACATAAGGATCCTTGGTAGCCTAGTGGGTTAAGCATTGGGTTGCTAACCTCAAGGTCATGAGTTCGAATTCACCCGCTGCTCCTTGGGAGAAAGATGAGACTTTCTGCTCCTGTAAAGATTTACAACCTCAGACAACACACAATTGCAGTTAAGAAACAACCAAGCTCTGGCAAGGGCCACTGGAAAGTAGGTGGGGCAATGTGGTGGTTGGAGTCTGGCTGTGTAACCTCACATGAGAATCAGGATTGATTTAAAACATTCTGCATACAATACTTGTCAACAGAAGAAAATCAGGAGATTAACACTTTTCACTCTGGTCTTATGATCTGTGAAATACAAGTAGCCCTGGTGGCACTCTGTGTTTGTTCAGCAGTGGGCTGTTAACCAAAGGTGGGCAGTTTGAACCCACCAACCACTTATCTGGAGAAAGATGTTAACCGTCTGCTTCTGTAAAGATTTGCTATTGTTGTTATTAGGTGCCATCGAGTCGGCACCAACTCATAGCGACCCTATGCACAGCAGAACAAAACAATGTCCGATCCTGGGCCAACCTCACTACTGTTGCCACACTTGAGTCCATCGATGCTGCCACTTGGCCAATCCATCTCATTGGGGTCTTCCTCTTTTTCTCTGACCCTCCATCTTACCAAACATGATATCCTTCTCTAGCGACTGTTCCCTTCTGACAATATGTCTTAAGTATGAGAGACAAAACTTAGCCAACCTGGCCTCCAAGGAGCACTCTGGCTGCACTTCTTCCAAAACAAATCGATTGGTTCTTTTGGCAGCCCATGGCACTTTTAGTATTCTCCTCCAACACCATAATTCAAAGGCATCAATTTTTCTACGATCTTCCTTATTCACTATCCAGCTTTCGCATCCATATGAGGTTATTGAAAATACCATAGCTTGGTTCAGGCGCACTTTAGTCCTTAAGCTGACATCTTTGCTCTTCAACACTTTAAAAAGGTCTTGTGCAGCAGATTCACCTAATGCAATATGTCGTCTGATCTCTTGACTGCTGCTTCCATGAGTATTGATAGTTGATCCAAGAATAATGAAGTCCTTGACTACTTCAATCTTTTCTCCATTGATAAGAATGTTGGTCCAATGGTGAGGATTTTTGTTTTCTTTACAGATTTACAACCTTTTGTTTTCTGTAAAGATTTACAACCTTGGAAATTCTAGGTTTGATATGAATCCAAATCAACTTGATGGCATTGGGTTTTTCTTTCAACCCTTTTGGAAAATTTGAACCCTTGTGGAAAGAAAGAAGTTCAGGCCTATATAAATGAACACTGACACCTACTGGATTTTGAGACTCTACTCTTGTTGTTAAGTGCCATGTAGCCAGTTCCTGCTCATAGCAATCTTATACACAACAGAACGAAACACCGCCAGGTCCTGCACAAACTCACAATTGTTACAATTGCTACGGTTGGGCCTACTGCTGCTACCACTGTGCCAATCCATCTTGTTGGGGTCTCCCTCTTTTTCACTGACCCTCTACTTTGCAAAGCATGATTTCCTTCTCCAGGGACTGGTCCCTCAGGGTAACCTGTCCAAAGTATAAGAGACAACGTCTGACCATCTTGGCTTCTAAGGAACAACCTAGTTGTACTTCCAGAAAAAATAATTTCAAAAATTTAAATTATAAAATATTCCAAGCATCCAGAAAATTCCTAAATATGGTTGGTTATTTAAGTGTCCACCCCACCAAAATAACAGATTTTAATATTTTGTTCATAGATAGGAGAGACAGATAAGTACCATTGAATTAACTCCAACTACAGTATAACAGAATTTAGCACTGTTGCTTAATGCTAAGCCATCTTCACAATTGAGTTAATCTTTGCAGCCTTTGTGCTAATCCATTGGCTTCTGGTCCTCTACTTTACCACACACTATGACCTTCTCCAGTGACTAGTTTCTCCTGATGCTGTGTCTAAAGCAAGCGAGACAGACAGTATTCTCCTGCAATCTATAGTATTTTCATTGGCTAATTTTCAGAAGTAAGTTGCCAGGCCTTTCTTCTGCATCTATCATAGTCTGGAAACTTCTGAAACCTGTCTACCATAGGTTACATACCAGTGGCATAGCTTCCAGCATCCCAACAACATGAAAGCCATCATAGCATGACAACTGACAGGCAGGTGGTCGCTATGGCTAACTAATTACTTCCATTTATCAAAAAGTGCATTATTTTCCCACTGATAGGAAATGTCCATTTAAAAAAATTTATCAAATTTCCATTTTTGCTAGTTTTGTTTCAGTGCTATCTGTCCCATTGGTCTATTTGTTTATCTCTGTGCCAATTACTACAATGCATCAGTTTCTATTTTGATATCTGGTAGGAGAAGTCTCCTACAGTATTCTTTGAAACTGGTTTAGCCATTCTTGCCATCAGGGAATTATATTCATTGTCACAGGCAATTTTCTCAATTCTCAGACAAATTAAGCAATTTTCTCAAGGTCACAAAGCCAGTAAGAAAGAACTTGAACCCAGGTCTATCTGAGTCCAGACATCTTTCTATTCCCTCCTGGACCTCTATCTTTCTAAGGCCAGAGAGCTGGTTTTGTAGGCACAGAGAGCTGGGCGTGGAGGAAATCAAGTGTGGGCAACTGAGAAAAGAAAGGCAGGTATCAGGAAAATGGCTTGAGTCTAATCTCTGGGTCATACATTTATCATCCAAGAGCTAGGGCTCGGATGGCAGAACTGGAAACAGTGGTCGGAGCAAGTAAGACTGAGACATGCCTACCCCAGGACACATAACACATGTGGGCATGTCTTATCTCCTTCCTCGCAGAGGAAGACAGTGTGGCAAAAGTTTTAGCCAGATCTCACCCCAGGGAGGTGCAGTTCTCCTCCAACCCCTCCCTGTCTGATTATGGGCCCTAATCAGCTTGGGGGAGATTAAGGGCTCTGGCCGGCTGTTACCGCACCTCTACCCTGTGCCAGGCTGGCAGAGGAGACCTGCGAGCAAGCATCAGAAGGAGGCTCAGCCAGGCCTTGGCCCCAGACCCACTTTTCGGTAAGTGACAAAGGCCCTTCCGAAAAAATCCACGTCTGATCTGCCAGGACCTGAAGAGGTCCCCACCAACCCCCAGGATTGCTCCGACCACGGGGAAGGGGGAGGCAGGAGGGGGCTTCCAGTCTGTGCCTTTGAAACTAGGAGTGCCAGGAGAGCCCTAAGGAAGTTCCGGGGGTCTCGTTGGCTCCTTTTGCTCTGTCTGTGTTCACAGATGTGGGCAGTGACCACCGGCACCCTCCTGGTGGGTAGGCTTCGGGACGCACACCTTTGCACCTGCGCGCTGGGGGCTCCATCCCGACCCGGTCTCTCCCAGGCAGCGCCCAGGTCGGGACCTCGCCTCCCACTGCTGCTTCTGCTGCTGCTGCTGCTGCTGCCGCCCCACACCCACTCCTCCGTGTTCACCATCGGGGTGTTGGGCCCCTGGACCTGCGACCCCATCTTCTCCCGTGCCCGCCCGGACCTGGCCGCCCGTCTGGCTGTCTCCCGCTTGAACCCGGCCCTGGAAGGTGGTCCCCGCGTCGATGTCGTGCTACTGCCGGAGCCGTGCCGGACGCCGGGCGCTCTGGGGGCTGTGACCTCGGCACTGGCCCGCGTCTCCGGCCTCGTGGGTCCGGTGAATTCTGCCGCCTGCCGGCCGGCCGAACTACTCACTCACGAGGCAGGGGTTGCGCTGGTGCCCTGGGGCTGTCCGGGGACGCGGGCGGCGGGCACCACGGTCCCTGCCGGGACTCCCGCAGCGGATGCCCTCTATGCCCTCCTGCGGGCGTTCCGCTGGGCGCGCGTAGCCCTGGTCACCGCACCGCAGGACCTGTGGGTGGAGGCGGGACGCGCGCTGGCCGTGGCGCTCCGTGCTCGGGGCCTGCCAGTCGCTCTGGTGACCACCATGGAGCCCTCGAACCTCGCTGGCGCCCGAGAGGCCCTGAGGAGGGTCCTCGAAGGACCCAGCGTCAGAGGTAGGCTCCCCTGGAGTGTGCAGGTCTTGCTGGTGGCGGCGTCGGTGGTTGGCCAACCGAGCCTCTGTGTCCGCAGCAGTGGTCATGGTGATGCACTCCGTGCTGCAGGGCGGCGAAGAGCAGCGCCGCCTGCTGGAGGCCGCAGAGGAGCTGGGCCTGACAGACGGCTCTCTGGTCTTCCTGCCCTTCGACACGCTTCACTACGTCGTGACCCCAGGGCCCGAGGCCTTGGTCGCACTCGCCAACAACTCCCAACTTCGTAGGGCCCACGATGCTGTGCTCACCCTCACGCGTCATTGTCCCGCAGGAGGTAGCGTGCTGGACAGTCTGCGCAGGGCTCAAGAGATGCGGGAGCTGCCTCCTGACCTCAATCCACAGCAGGTAGAGGGGCCAGAGACAAGGAAAAAGGGAGGAGAGCCAGGGAAGAAGGAAGGAGATAGCCTAAACTAGGAAAGGAGATTGGAACCTATTGGGATAGTCAATGGTTAGAGAAGAATAGAGACAGTTGGAAGAGAAGTGACTAGAGACTATGGAATGGGGAAGATGGAGTCAGTGGGAAGGAGGAGGGTGGAGTCAATAGAGAGAAAATAACTAGTAACTCTAGCTGATGTAGCTAGAGCTGATGAAGCTGATGTAACTCTACCTAGTGTCGCGCTGTAAGATGAGCACTAGACCACAAGATTGGCGGCTCAAACTCACCAGCTGCTCCTTGGAAGCTACTTTGAATTGGAAACTGATTCGATGGCATTTAACAACAACTAACTGTCCAGAGTTTCCTGAGTAATGTAGAGACTGGTCTTGGTGCATCTTAGTGTATCGAGAGTGCCTCCAAAGAGTAGGCAATGCCACCTCTCAAGCCCAGCTCCAAGGAGCAAACACTGATGAACTCTTAAGCTGCAATATGTTTTGCAATCTGCTTCAAAGTAAACACATTCTCAGCACCACAGCAACATATAGTCTGTAATAAACATCTGATGTTCTCAAAAGGAAATCTCAGGGTGATGCACATGGTTAACAAATTAGGCTGCTAATTGAAAGGTTAGAGATGGAGGTTGGTGTTCACCCAGAGGTACCTTGAATGTAAGGTCTGGCAATTGGCCATAGAATATTCTTATGAGGCACAGTTCTACTCCGACACACATGGAGTTGTCATGAGTTGAAATCCACAGCACACCTGAGATTTTGCCATTATTGTAGTTTACATAATGGCAACTAGTTTGGTTTGGATTTCTTTGGTTCCTAAGAGAGCAGAGAGGAGGGAAGATGCTTACTTAGTTCAGGGTTGTTTGTCGTCTGGGGCCTCACCTAGTCTTAACTTGTTGAGGGCCTTGACATCTTGTGAGAAGCAGAGTCGTGTCTAGCTAGAGCTAGAAACTCCCACAATCATTTTAATCCATAGCTTATTCCTAGCATCCAGCTAATACCCAGGATTCTTTGCATCCCCAGCGTCCCAGTTTAGACCATGGCATAACAGACACTAGAAACCACTAAGAGAGCATGTACGCTGAATGTTATGGGGCAGTAAACTAACCACCATAAAAGCTCTACCCAAAGGGGATTACATGAGGTAGGGCTATAGGTCAACAAACCTTGAAATACAAATCCCTAACAGCCTCCTGCCTGAAGAACCCATCAATGGCTTTGAGCCTCCTTCAAGAAGGTTTGGGGTAGCCAGTTTGGAGAAAGGATGAGAATAGTCATGAGAAGAGAACAAGTGTCAAAACAAAAAAATAATGGTGAGATGAAAGAAAGAGGGAATGGAAGGTGGATCAGAAAGTGGAGAAAGAGAGGACAGAAAATTAAAGAAGTTTTTCAGTTCTTAGTAAGTGGCACAAACTTCCATTCAGCTGCTCAAGCTAGACCCGAGACTCACCCTTGATTTCTCTATCCCTTTTCCTCCACGTCCAGACATTAAATCTGTCACTTTTGCTTTCTAAAAGTAATTTGGACCCATCCACTTTTCTCCACTCTCACTACCACTGCCCTGGTATCTCTGACCCAGATCCAGCAACAAATAGCCACCCAGGTGGACTCTGCTTCAAATCTCACCTGCCCCAGGTCTTTCTCCACCCAACAAGCAGAGTGAGCTTCTAAAATACAAACGTGGCCATACCCTACCATTGTTTAAAGTGTGCCCACTGGTTTCTCTCACCATGGAGAGATGCAGTCTCTTTGATCTTTCTTGAACCCCGTGCTTCAAACAGAAGAAATGAATTTTGGTTCCCTGAATGTGTCCTTTTCTGTTGCTGGGCGTGCTATTTCCTCTTTACTTCTCTGGACCTCCACTGACCACTTTAATTCTGACTCATCCCTTGGGTCTCTGCTTGGTGGCCATTTCCTTTGGAAGCCTCAGCCTTTATTCTTCCTCCCCTACCCTGAGTTGAGACCCTTCTTTTTTGTGTCAAAGTTGGTTCCGTTTTTCCTACTATGCCCTTCATTGAATTTCCTAAGCATTCCTGCCTGTCTTGCTACAAGAATGAAGGTTCCTTGAAGGTCCCTAGTGTTTTGAACGACATCTGGTACACAGACAGTTAATATGTGTTAACCTTAACGTTTGAGAAATGAAACTGGGAATACTAGAGAGGTATGATGACATAAGAAAATAGAAATGTGGGAGGAAAAAGGCATTTGGGTGAATGGTAAATCCAGTTCCAGTTTCTATGGACCCAAACTCATGGTGACTTCGTGTGGGTCATAGTAAAACTGTGCTCCCAAAGGGTTTTAAATGGCCAATTTTTCAGAAGTAGACCTTTCTTTTGAAGCACCTCTGTGTAGATACAAATTGCAAATCTTTTGGTTAGCAGCCAAATCTGTTAACTATTTATACTACCTAGGGATTCCTTATGTAGGTAACATATTGCTGTTAAGGCCACCTTTAGTGACTCTATAGTACAAAAACTACCCTATGGGGTTTCTAAGACTGGAATCTTTACATACTGCCACATCTTTCCCTTGTAGAACAGCTGGTGGGTCCAAACTGCTCACCTTTTGGTTAACAGCCTTGCTCTTAACCACTGCGCCACCAGTGATAGGTAATAAGAGTACAAATATATGCAGGGCAACCAAAAGGATGGAGAAGAGGAGTTGTAGGTAATATAAAGTTAGAGTCTACTGGTAGTGAGAAAGGTGTCTCTGGTAGCGTAGTGGTTATGAATCAGGCTGTTAATCTCAAGGTTTGCAGTTCGAAACTACTAATGGTTCCATGGGAGAAAGATGAGGCTTTCTGCTCCCATAAGGATTTATAGCCTTGAAAACCCTATACAGGGTTGCTATGGGTTGGAGAGGACTCCACAGCACACCACCACCATCAGTGGTGAGAAGAGCCTGAGAATCCTGAAGCAAAGGATAATTGGTGAAGAAAAGGGGGGCAGATAGTCAGTGGGAAGGGATATGGGGAACCACTAATTAGGAAATAGAATAGGACTTGGCCTGGTGAGCAGATGGGCAGGATCAGTGAATTTACATTTCTTTGTGGGTCATAGTTATAGACCCTGAGTCCCTACTCTTCTTCCCCAGGTGTCCCCACTCTTTGGCACCATCTATGAAGCAGTCTTCATGTTGGTGCGAGGCGTGGTAGAGGCACAGGCAGCCAGAGGAGGGGGCTGGGTGTCTGGAGCAGCTGTGGCCCGCCATGCTCAGGATGTCCAGGTCCCTGGCTTCTGTGGGACCCTGGGAGGAGTTGATGAACCTCCGTTTGTGCTGCTGGACACAGATGCGGTGGGGGACCAGCTGTTCGCCACATACACACTGGACCCTGCCCGGGGCTCCCTCCGCTCCTCTGGGACTCCGGTTCATTTCCCTCAAGGGGGACGGGGGCCTGTGCAGGACCCTTGGTGCTGGTTTGACCCTGATATCATCTGCAGTGGAGGTGAGGGTGTGCCCCTCCCCCCCAGTCCTCACTAGGACATCATTATGGACTGTCCACAAAGTGGCGAGAGAGAGTGGATATTCACCCTGTAACTGCTCTTCCTGACCATTGCAGGCCCTCCTCTTACCCTGGCCTGTGCAGGACCTCTCTCCCGCTCAGTTCCCAAAGGTCTCATGGGAACTTCCTGGGATTCTCAGACCCTCCCCTTTGAGGAATCCATGACCTTCCCCTAGATCCTGTCCTGGCTTCCCCCTCCTTTCCTGGAGCCTCCAGAAATGCATAGAATTCCATGTTCCCTAGAGAGGGTGCTTCTCCTCTGCCAGCACCCTGAGCATCCCTCTCCTACCGCCCCTCCAGGAGTGGAGCCCAGCCTCGTCTTTCTCAGCTTCCTCCTGGTGGTTGGGATTGGCCTGACCGGGGCCTTCCTGGCTCATTACATGAGGTGAGATGAATGGAGGTGAGCTTGGCTTTCCACCTGTCAGAAATGCACCTGTGCAGCCAAGACAGCAGGGCCCTCAGGAGTAGAAGGAAGCGGATGGGTGGAGGGCTGGTGTCCTGGGCAGGTGGCAAAATCCCAAGGGATTTCTGAGCTCTAGTGCCCCTCCCTGAGCCAGTATTATCCAGTCTCCCCTCTGTCTGCTGACTCCTTCTCATGGGCCTTGGTCCCCTTTTCTGAGATGACCTCCTTCCCCCACCAGGCACCGGCTGCTGCACATCCAAATGGTCTCTGGCCCCAATAAGATCATCTTGACTCTGGATGACATCACCTTCCTCTACCCACAGAGAAGTAGCTCTCGAAAGGTGGGGGAGGCAGGGAGCTGGAATCCAGTTGTCCTCTTCCTGTATACCTGGTTCCCTCCTTGGGAGGCCTGGGTCCTGCCCCAGGTCTGAGCTCTGGGGATCAACATCCTCCCCTGGGAGGCCTGGGTTCTGCTCCAGGTCTGAGCTCCGGGAATTAGCATCCTCATCTGTGCAACAGAGGTAACAGTAACAGCCCCTGTCTGAACTGCTTCCTTGGGATTTGTAAAGCTCCAACAAGAAAATGTACATACGTTTTTTCTATAAACTGTAAAGTACGATGCACTTCAAAAGTAATGTCATTATTATCTTCCTAATTGATATTCCTCCCCTCTTCCCTCATTATTCTCCAGAATTCACCCTAACCTCTGGGCTTTAATCCCAGACTAAAGTTTGCCCCTTTGCGCTCACCTATACCCTTCAGGTAGTCCAAGGGAGTCGATCAAGTCTGGCTGCCCGAAGTGTGTCAGACATCCGCAGTGTTCCCAGCCAGCCCACTGACATCTCCAACATTGGCCTCTTTGAGGTGAGTCTGACCCGCTGCCAGGTCAAGTTCTACTCCCAGAGATGGATTTGGGGGAGGGTCACTCAGGACCTGGTCTGATGGATGGTACCCTCTCTAGGGAGGCATGGAGTCATGACAAGTTTTGGAAGCTCCAGGAAAGTAGGATGGGAGTCTGAATGAGATTTAGGAGAAGGTCTTGAGTTTTTCAAAAGGAATTTCTAGGGATTTTCCCATAGTTATTATCGGAGAGGGCTTCTAAGCAGACAATTCCAGTGGCCCAGGTGCTGAGGCCTGAGCTGGAGGCTGGAGGGGTGGGGTAGGGAACCCCTGGACCTTGCCCCCACCCTCATTTATCCAAGTCTTCAGGTTACTGAAGGATGAAGGCCTTTCTGAAAAGGTTTAGCTCAGAAGGGCATCCAAGACATGGTCATCTCGTCACATCGGAAGAAATTTTTGGGCAAGGATTGTTGTGCTGGATGGGGAGCTTCTAGATGGGACTATCCTTGACTCAGGCCATCCAACCTTTCTACTCAATTCAGATCAGACTCAGTAACAGCAAACCTAAAAGGAGGAAGAAAATCTCAAAGGCCATTAACTGTGGGGTCAGCAAATTTGAATGTGATGGAATGGATGGCAGATAATGAGAGCAGTTTTCAGATAGAGTTTTGCTAGTTAAGAAGAGAATTAGAGCTGAGAATGCAGAGGTCCTTAGTATATCGTTTAGAGATGATCACAGCTGTTCCTCCCTCAGTTGAGACATGTTGTCATTTTAGGCAAGATGCTGTTGGTTCAGGTATGGGACTACCCTGAGCTTTGCAGAATGTTTAGCATTTCTGGCCTTGTCTACCAAAGTTTTTATGACAACTAAACACATTCCCACATTTATTTCCAAATGCTCCGTAGGGCTCAGTACTGATCCTCCAGAATTCCCTTTTAGTTCAAATTTCTTACCAACAGATAGGATCAGCTACAGGATCAGTACAAGAGGAAATGTGGAGCCCTTGTTTATTCAAAATGATGGAGCAGATCATTTTACCAAGATCAGGGCCCTTCTGAGTGTGAGGCCCTCCCTGTTCCACTGTATAAGTCCTATGCCCTTGAAGTCAAGTCAGCCAACAGCTAAGGAAAATGAGGCCCAGGGCCCAGAGCGGAACTACCTCTACTTCACGATCAGTTTACAGGACTTCCAGCACAGCGCCCTCTTGTGGCAATATGTGGTGATGAAGGCTGTGATGTTATCAGTAACAGCTGTGTTAACAGCTTGGCTGGCTGTAATAGGGCTGTTGGTAAGTCCCATCTGGGGTGATGGGAACCGCCATACAGGGCTTCTCCATATATGTCACCCAGGGTGGGCTATCATCGGTTGGCTGTGAAGTGGACTGGCAGACATCGAACCTCTTGAAAACTTCTTTTTCACATGGAAGATGTATTCTGGGGCAATGGGCCAGTGGCAATATGGGGCTCTAAGACATCATGGGCTCTATGGGACTGGTTTTCCAACCCTCATCCTCTCTGCTCCAGGGAGACTGGGTTTGGCTGAAGAAATTTCCAGGGGATCAACATGTAGCTATCCACCCAGCAACCAAGACAGCCTTCTCCAAGGTAAGGGTTGGGTTTGTGAAGGATTGATGGGTCTGGGGTGGCCATCAGCCTATCCCTTACATGCCTTCTTTGCAGCTGGGTACAGGGCTATATCCTAATGTGAGAGAGACAGGTCTCAGTTAAGTGTTACCTCCTCTCTGGAGCAGGTTTTCCATTGGTCTTTCTCTTTCCTTTGTTGTTATCACAATTTGTAATTCTGTGATCATCTGTGTGCTTGCTTATTTATTATCTGCCTTCTTCACTGGACTGTAAGCTGAGGATTCCCCCACCGCCCCTCTATATTAGCATCCAGCACAGTGTCTGGAACACTGTGCTATTGTTGTTAAGTACCAGCAAGTTGGTTCTGACTCATAACCACCCCGCGTAGGATTTCTGAGGAGCGGCTGATGGGTTTGAACCACCAACCTTGCAGTTAGCAGTCCAGTACAGAGAACAGTGAATGATATCGCTAGTTGTTGCTGAGTTTGTACTGACTCACAGCGCCATTATGTGCAACAGAACATAATGTCCCCTGGCCTTGCACTATCTTCATTATTATTGGGGTGTTTGAGTATCTGCTTAGTGAAGGATAGAAAATGCAAAGTGTTCTGTGAGAGTACTTACACAGACTGGCCCTTTTTGGATTGATGCATACTGAATGGAGTTGTAGGTTGAGGGGTGGGGGTGGGGGTCTAAACTGGTTTCTTCTGACCCTTCCAATCTGAGTGCCTCCTCCCCAACTTTAGCTTGGCCTCCTTCCTGACCCCTCCACAGGACACAGCTGCAGAATGACTTAGGTGGGCTATCTGTGTGATTTAGCACTGGGAATTTAAAGTGAAAAGAAGCCCCTTTGTTGAGCATTTGAGCAAAGAGGCACCAAGCCTCTTCCATTTCCCAGCATGCCCAGATTGGGAGAGCACACTGTCCTGCAAAGTGGGTGTGGCCTCCTTTACTGCTCTTCTGGGTTCATGGCTTCAGTGCTAGGGGGTGGGGCAATCTCAGACACACTTCACCCAATAGATGCAACATCAAGCAAAAACAGCACAATCCATTTCTGGAGTTCCTACACAGCAGTGCCAATTTATCCCTGGCTCTTCCCCCAACGGCTGATAGAGTTGAAGAAGAGGATGGTTTGTGCAGGAACTAGCCTTGCATGAACGTGTTTCCAGGGGCGGACAGAGAATTGAAAGTGGCAGGGGACTCAAGATGGTCAGTCGAGAGTAACTTTATTATCTACAATACAGCTTTAAGTACACTTTTCAGCAGGAAGCATATCCAGGCAGTTTATGCATCAAAAGTTGATGATTAACACAGTAACCTTTAGATCACAATATCCATTCAATCATGTTCAGACTTAGAAATCAAGTACATAGTAGTTCTTGGTTTTTGGTTATAGTTCCTGCTCCCAAGCTAAATGGTCAGTATGTTCCTTCCCGGAATCTTTGGCCAGCAAGGGTTTCCTTGTTGTTCTCCTCCAGGCGTCCCTTGATCTGAGAAGGGCTTCAGAGTGGGTTTCACACACTTCCGGCAGCTCCTAGGCCTCAGAGTGGGCTGTACACGTCTCGCAGGTGTTAGGGACTTCCCTATCAGGAGCTGTTTTCCCCTGGCAGTGCAAAGTTTTATGATAAATACATCAGAACCTACCCGGCTCCCAATTACCAGTACAAGATTGTCTTTTCGTTCATAACGTTAAGTGAAACCCTAAAGAGAAGGTATCACCTGCATCAGAAAGCCATACCCTCTACGTGCCCAATTTCATTCAGTATTTTTAAGTCCCATCTTCAGAGTTAAAGACTCAATAACAGACACTGAATAACGGCCCCCTCGCTCGGACCCCACTCCCCTCTCCCGCCCCCAGGACAGAAAATGCCCGTTAACTTTACTCTTTCCCCAACACAGCTCCGAGAGCTGCGGCACGAGAACGTGGCCCTCTACCTGGGGCTTTTCCTAGCACCAGGCGCAGACGGAGCCACAGCACCAGGGGAAGGCATCCTGGCTGTGGTCTCGGAGTACTGTACCCGGGGCTCCCTACACGATCTCCTCGTTCAGAGAGACATCAAGCTGGACTGGATGTTCAAGTCTTCCCTCCTGTTAGATCTCATCAAGGTGTCGGGGGTGGTGACGGTGGTGAGGAGGGTAAGCTGGGGGCAGAAACGAGGGGGCAGGGAGCCGCGCGGGCTGAGGCTGCCCATACTTCGCCCTTTCCAGGGAATGAGATATCTACACCATCGAGGCGTCGCTCACGGGCGGCTTAAATCCCGGAACTGCGTGGTGGACGGGAGGTTTGTGCTCAAGGTCACCGACCACGGCCACGGGCAATTGCTGGAGGCGCAGAGGGTGTTACCAGAGCTCCCGAGCGCAGAGGGTAGGAGTCCCAGGCGGCCTCACACATGTAGGAGCATCCTCCGGGATCCTCAGCATTTTAAGACCTCCTCCCTTTCCCCCTCCTCCGTCTTTACCCTCGCTCACATTCAATATCCCCTGGACGCTACTCCAAATCAAAACGGTGTTGTGACCCCCTCAGTGAAACCGGAGGATGGAACTGCGCCAGAAACGCTGGGGGAGGAGCCTATGGGAACGGGCGGAATGGTCCAAGGTCCGCGGTTCAAACTCACCAGCCGCTCCTTGGAAACCCTATGCAGAGTCACTATGGGTCGGAACCGACTCAACGGCACTTAACAACAACAAAAGGGCAAGGCGTGCCCGGGTTTCTCTAAAATGGACTTTGGGAATAGTTGTAGGACTACAGAGGATGACTCAGGCGGGAGAGGAGGGATTAGTGGATGTCTGGGAGCAAGTCCAGACTGAGACGTAGGGTCTGTCCCTTACGCCCCCATGGCCCTCCGCATGCCCATGTCCCCTTTTCCATCTCCAGACCAACTATGGACATCCCCGGAACTGCTTCGGGACCCGGCCCTGGAGCGTCACGGCACGCTGGCCGGCGATGTCTTCAGCCTGGGCATCATCATGCAGGAAGTAGTATGTCGAAGCGCTCCCTACGCCATGCTAGAGCTGACTTCTAAGGGTACGTACAACCACCCTTCAGCAGACTGAAAGAGTTCAGGCCAGAGAGGCATCCTGTGGTCCTAATTTAAAAGACCCCCTGCTAGTATCCCCATCTTGGGCTTCAACAATAAAGTCAGGGTCAGAATTGACTTATATTCAGGGACACCCACCCCTCACAGTCCCTTCATGCCCCCAGAAGTGGTGCAGAGGTTGCGGAACCCCCCTCCACTGTGTCGGCCTTCGGTGTCCACGGACCAGGCGCCCATGGAGTGCATCCAACTGATGTATCAGTGCTGGGCAGAGCAACCTGACCTTCGGCCCTCCATGGACCGCACCTTCAACCTGGTCAGGGGCTGTAGCTGGGCGAGGGCTGGGTTGACAACTGGGACCCTAGACTCTTGTCAGAAATCTGAGGAGGCTGCAGGCAGATAGGCTGGCAGGAACTCTGACTTGGAAGGTCATCACTTCCTAAGATGTAGCTGGGGGTCTAATGGGAATTTTAGATGTCTTCAAAGTGGGAGACAAAGCTCTAGGTGGGAAAAAGATTTCATTCAAGTGAGTTAACCTTTATTGAGAACTGTTTGCTTTGGTAGAAAAACAATTGGCCTAGGAGTCCAAAAGCAGGGCTTGTTCTAGTGCCTTGCCTCTCTGAACCTTCATTACCTACATGCTTAAATCTGGAAACACAGTGCCGGCATCCTAGGCAAATGAATGGCGTGTTAGGAAGGAGGAGAATCAGGCATAGTCTAGTCCTATGGGAGAGGCACTACATACAGTCCAGATCCTGAGCAATCCCACCAGCTTCCTCCCACTACTAGTTCAAGGGCATCAACAAGGGTGGAAAGAGGAACATCATCGACTCAATGCTGCGGATGCTGGAGCAGTACTCAAGCAACCTGGAGGACCTAATCCGAGAGCGCACAGAGGAGTTGGAGTTGGAAAAGCAAAAGACAGATCGGCTGCTCACACAGATGCTGCCTCCGTGGGTGCCAATGGGGAGGGCAGCCAGTGTTCTGCCAAACTAGGGTGGCTTCCAGGCGTTCTTACTTCATGCCACCCTCAGGTCTGTGGCTGAGGCCCTGAAGATGGGTACACCTGTGGAGCCTGAGTACTTTGAGGAAGTGACACTGTACTTCAGTGACATCGTGGGCTTCACCACTATCTCAGCCATGAGTGAGCCCATTGAGGTGGTGGACTTGCTCAATGACCTCTACACTCTCTTTGATGCCATCATTGGAGCTCACGATGTCTACAAGGTGGAGTGTGTAGGAGGCGAGGGTCCTGACCTCCAGTTTAATTTTACCCTCCGCCGGCCCAGTTCTTCCTGCTCAGCTGTCCACACCTACCCCATGCCAACAGCCCAATCTTTTTTCCCAACTCTCCAGTTCCTTAGCTACTCCTCCAGTCCCCAGCTCAGTTGCCCAACTCCTAGCCTGGCTGCCTAGGATCTCTGCACTGATCCAGTTGAGGTCTCCTGGCAAGGGAAAATCAGTGTGTGTGGTGGGGGAAGGGGAATGGAGCAGCCATGAGAGAAGAGGGTGTACTCTTTCCCCCAGGTGGAGACTATTGGAGACGCCTATATGGTGGCTTCGGGGCTGCCTCAGCGGAATGGACAGCGGCATGCAGCGGAAATCGCCAATATGGCATTGGACATACTCAGCGCTGTGGGTTCCTTCCGCATGCGCCACATGCGGGAGGTGCCGGTGCGCATCCGCATTGGCCTGCACTCAGGTAACTCCCAGCCCTCCTGGGCTCCAGCCCACCCTCAGATTTCCTATATAGGAAGGAGCTTCAAAACTTTTGTGGAACAATTCCATTTTTCTAAGAACTTTTTGAAGCCTCCTTGTGCCGAAGCAGCCGTTTGCATTCTAAGCACCAGGTTTTAATAGAAGATTTGCTTAGTGGTGTATGTTTATTTGGAGAGCCAGTGGAGATTATGTGGTGATAAAGTTCGCCCAAGGCCTGCACAGCCGCCGGGCACAGCCAGCTTTGGCCCAGATCTTGCACACCGACCCTGCACATCTCCTCAGGCCCCTGCGTGGCCGGCGTGGTAGGTCTCACCATGCCGCGGTACTGCCTGTTTGGGGACACAGTCAACACTGCCTCTCGCATGGAGTCCACTGGGCTGCGTGAGTGTAACCCAGGGGATTAAGAGTGGGGCTGAGGGGAGAGAGGTGGCTCTTGAGCTCACAGCGCCCCCTTTTGCTCTAGCTTACCGCATCCACGTGAATTTGAGCACCGTGCAGATTCTCCGTACCCTGGATGAAGGCTTCCAGACAGAAGTGCGAGGTCGTACAGAGCTGAAAGTGAGACCCAGTCTTGCCCTTCTCGCCTGGACTGTAACTAGGAGACAAAGTACCCCCATCCTGGGGCTCCCAGTTCCACTTAGACCTTGAGATTCTACCTGCCTCGCCCCAGTCCGCCTAGATCTGCCAATCCCGTGTGTCTCCCTAGGGCAAGGGCGCTGAGGACACCTACTGGCTGGTGGGCAGACTCGGCTTCAACAAACCTATCCCTAAACCGCCCGATCTGCAGCCAGGGTGAGGGCCCGGGCACTGGCCACGTAGTTCCCTTCCCTCTCTCTCCCTGCCTTCTGCCCTGTTTCCGACCTCGGCTCGAAGCGGCACTGACCCAGCCTCCCTTTGTTGCCCTTCCCTGACCACCGCCCCATCCTCACAGGACCAGTAATCACGGCATCAGCCTGCAGGAGATTCCACCCGAGCGTCGCTGGAAGCTGGAGAAGGCTAGGCCTGGCCAGTTTCAGATATAGTGGGCCAGGTGCGTCAAGTCTGTTTCCCCAAGACTCCAAGACCCACAAGACTTGGAGGATGCTTCCTGGGGAACAGGAGAGCTTCTTCCCCAGTCTGAGGTTGCCTGCAGTACTCCTTCCCATCCTAGTGAGCTGGCCTGAGTTTACCAAGTCTGATTTCCCCTGACAGGGGTGCTCTCATAAAAAATGCAGATTTCTAGAGCACCAATCGCAGGCTTTCGATTGTGTGGATCATGACAAACTATGGACAACAGTGCGAAGTATGAGTATTCCGGAACACTTAATTGTGCTCATAAAGAATCTGTACCTGGACCAAGAAGCAGTTGTTGGAACAGAACATGGGAACACTGAATGGTTTAAAATTAAGAAAGGTGTGCGACAAGGTTGTATTCTTTCACCATACTTATTCAACCTGTATGCTGAGCAAATAATCCGAGAAACTGGGTTCTATGAAGAAAAACGTGGCATCAGGATTGGAGGAAGACTCATTAACAACCTGCGATATGCAGATGATACAACCTTGCTTGCTGAAAGTGAAGAGGACTTAAAACATTTACTGATGAAGATCAAAGAGTACATCCTTTGGTATGTATTACATCTCAATGTAAAGAAAGCAAACATCCTCACCACTGGACCAATAAACAACACTCTTATCAATGGAGAAAAGATTAAAGTTGTCAAGGACTTCATTCTTCTTGGATCAACTATCAACACTCATGGAAGCAGCAGTCAAGAAATCAAATGACGTATTGTATTAGGCAAATCTGCTCAAGACCTTTTTAAAGTGTTGAAGAGCAAAGATGTCATCTTGAGGACTAAGGTGTGCCTGAACTAAGCTATGGTATTTTCAATAACCTCATATGCATATGAAAGCTGGACAGTGAATAAGGAAGACCGTAGAAGAATTGATGCCTTTGAGTTATGGTGTTGGAGGAGAATATTGAAAGTGCCATGGGCTGCCAAAAGAACCAATAGATCTGTTTTGGAAGAAGTGCAGCCAGAGTGCTCCTTGGAGGCCAAGATGGCCAAACTTCGTCTCTCATACTTCAGACATATTGTCAGGAGGGACCAGTCGCTGGAGAAGGATATCATGCTTGGTAAGATTAAGGGTCAGAGAAAGAGCGGAAGACCCCCAGTGAGATGGATTGGCCAAGTGGCAGCATTGATGGACTCAAGCGTGGCAATAGTAGTGAGGTTGGTCCAGGATCCGGCTAGTGTTTCATTCTGTGGTGCATAAGGTCACTATGAGTCGGTACCGACTTGATGGCACCTAACAGCAACAACACTTGCAGGGATTCTGGTTAGGTCCAGGAATCCAGGCTTGGATTTATGACAATCTTCCTTGATCCTTCCAACCCTCACCCAGACCTCATAGACATCCTGGTGTGGTGCTGTAGTGTAAGTGCAGGGCCTCAAGGTCAACTTGAACTACAAGGTTGGTGGTTCAAACTCACCAGCCACTCCTTGGAAACCCTATACTGGGTCCCTGTGAGTGGGAATCGACTGAGGCACTTAACAACAGACTTCCTAAATTCTGCACTGTAGGGGGCAACATGACAAACTTCTCCTTTATTAGAGCAAAAGTCTGCCTACTATTCTCCTGCAAACTCTGATCCATAACCCACCTCTTCCTCAGCAGACCTCAAGACTCCTTTCCACAGTTTCCCTCTGAGACATTACTCTATCTCTCAGGATTATTCTGGAAGATCTTTTTATTAAAAATTGCTGCTGTGGTGACCAAAAGTCTGGTTAATGCTTGTGGCTTCTATCCAGTTCTGCCTCAAAGGATTATGGACCTTTAAAAGAGTTGGTTGTAAACCAGTTGTTTGACCTTGGGAACATTTCATGCATTCTCTGGACTTGAATTTCCCTCAACGGTGAAATGAGAGGTGGCCTAGGTAGTTCCCACAGCCTCTGCCAGCTTTAACAGCTGGGTTTTAAATGGCTAGCCTCAGAATATGGGGTACTGTGGTGTTTCGCTCCCAGTCCCTAAGGATCCTGAACTCATCAGGGGATGTTAGGGTGGGGGCATCTCCACTTTCCAGGGTCCCCCAAGACCATAGAAAGGAGGATCTGGGATTGGATGTTACAACCCCAGCAGTGGACACTGTGTTTCATTCACCCTAGTAGGGGTTGTGCCGTGGCCTGAGGAGGAATGGGCTTTTGTTTAGCCACAGCCTCCTTCCTAATTCCATCTCTGACTGGCTTTTCATGTGGGTATAACCAAGTAACTTTCCCAAGTGCATAGAAAAAGTTGCATTAAGGCTTTGGGGAAAGGAAGTTAAACAAACTGCACCAAAACTTTACTAACCCAAACACCACGGAATAATCTCTCTTTAACTGGCACTGATGAACAGGTGGCTAGACAGAAAATTCTCTCTGTTTAGACTTTTGTAACAAGCATCAACTCTCTATCCTGATTAAGTCCACAGCTGAAGTTTTCTTGGTGGAACTCTGATGTTCCAGCAGAGCCTAGGCCTTGACGCTTTTGACTCTGATACCCTTTGCCATTGGTGCAGTTCCTGGAAGAAGTTAGCAGCATGTGCAGTTACCCAGGCTGCCACCACATATGGTGAGTGTTCAGTGACTGAAGGTGTACAGTCAAGAGGGAGACATCACTGACCAGGTATAGGACAGTCAGAGGGAAATCCTAGGTTGAAAGATGAGCTAAATCCTTAAACCACCTGGGAGTTTGTCCAAAATGCAGAATCTCAAAGCCTCTTTCCTAATCAGTATCTGCATTTTAATATGTTCTCTCAAAGCATTTATATGCACTTTAAAGTTTTTAAAGCATAAAACTAAATGATCCTAGGATCCCTAAAATCTCAGAATCTTTAAGACTCCATAAAAACCATGCCTTAAACCATCAGACTTGTTTACTTTAAGCTATAAAGTAGGATTTTTGTTTGTTTTGGTGTTGAGCTAAATCAAGAGATGCCACAATTTAAAAAGGTATACCAGATTTCCCTCTTTCTTGAAGTCAAAAGAGCTGGCCACCTGGGACTTGCACAGCCCCTCAGCATTGCCTTGTGGGAGCTGAAGAGTGACAGTCCCCTTTATCCAGGACTTCTCAGTTCTCAGTCCCCAGCCCTCCCAAGACACTAAGAGTTTTTGAACACTCCTTAGCAGCCTGTAAGGCGCGCTGGTAGGCATTTGAGCTAGGACTCCTGAATTTTAAGTATTAGGCTCATAGGTGCCCCCTGCAGGTGGCTTTGCCTTTAAAAAAAAAAAAGCAACTGATGAAGTCATAAAGACAGAGAAAGAGTGTATTAGAATAAACAACAACAACATCTGCCTAATTGGGCTGTTATGAAGCCCCAGGAAATGACACATATGAATGTGATGTGTTCTGATAAGCTCAAGACAGTGCTGGTTGTCAATATCTTTCGGAGTTAAATGAATAGATTTTGACAGGGAGGTTTTTTGAGGTCAGGGCAGATGACTCTCTCCCTGTTCCCAAGGGAGAAGGAAATAGAGGAACTGCAGAGAAGGAAGGAGAGCTGTGATGTCTCGGAAGTCTAGGTGATCTACCTATCCAGACTAATGCCATCTGTCACCGCCACCAGGGACATTCCACCCCACTCCACCCTGAGCCTGGGTCTTTGCTCCCATACCCAGAGAAGAACATCTCAACCAAGCATCTATCTGCTCTGCTCACAAGGAACATTGACCCACCTCAGACATCCCCATAGTCTGTATGTAGTCCTTCCACAACCCATTTTACACATGTGAAAACAGAGGCTTTGGTAGGTTTGGTGAAGGCTACATATCCGGCAAATGCTGGGATCAGGAAGCAGACTCAGGAGTCCACACATAGTTTACAGGCTGTCCTGCGTCCTACCTCTTGGTTCTTTTCTCCAGAGTACAGTTTAAACTCCAAATGTACAATGTCTGTGTAAACAGAGTAGTCCCTAACTTACTACTATTCGAGTTATGATGAATGGCATTTATGACCGTCATTCTCTATCATTGTCCAGCCCAGCCCACGTAGTACTTACCTCCTACTCACAAGTTGTCCTTATTCTGAACAAGGTCATGTTCAAAGGTATTGAGGGTTAGGATTTCAATGTACCTTTTTGGGGGAATACAATTAAATCCCTGAGAGCATGGCAGTAAGGGTCTGCAGTGAAAGACCCCAGAAAAACTTCACCAGGCTATAAAATGGCTAAGAGGCAGGGCTAGTACTCTCAAAACAACCTTGTGACCATCCACATACTGTCTGATTTGGGGTGACATGGGTTCTCATGCATGTCATTGGCCGGTTCCCCTAACCTTGCTTCCTGAAGTCATTTCCCCCAAGGCATAGCCTGGCAAGAGCTTTCACCTCAGGATAGGTGGACACCCAGAGCTCTTTCACTATCTGCCAGGTGGAGCAGTGAGAGATTGTATATATATATATATATGTACTCATTTCCAGAGCTGCTGTCATAACGTACTACAAATTGGACAGATTATAAGAACAGAATTGTATTGCTTCACAGTTCTGGAGGCAAGGAATCCAAAATCAAGGTATTGACTATATTGATTCATTCTGAATACCCAAAGAAGAGTCTGTTCCAGGGGTGTCTCCTAGCTTCTCGTCCTGACTGGGGATTCTTGGTGTTCCTTCACTTGTAAAAGCATCACTTCAGATCTGTCTCCATCTTTACATGGTGTTCTTCTGTGTCTCTCCATCTCCTCTCTCTTTTACAACAACACTACTCATATTGGTTGTAGTTGTTGTTGTTTTTAAGTGCCATCCAGTCAGTTCCAACTCATAGCAACCTTATATAGGGTTTCCGAGGAGCCACCAGTGAGCTTGAACCACTGGTCTTGTGGTTCAAACCAACCTTGCAGTCCAGTGCATTAACTCACAGCGCCATACCAGTACTCTTCATATTGGGTTAGGACCCACCTTAATCAAGTATGACTTCATTTAACATAACTGATAATATTTTCAAAGGCCCTATTTTAAAACAAGGTCATGTTTACAGGTACCAGGCATTGGGGCTCCCACCTAT